ATTGCACCCCTCGGCGTTGCTCCCGCGCCTTGCTCAGCCAGTGAGCGGGAACCGGTCCATATGTGGGATCCGAACCCTTGGGCGGGAGTGCCGCCGCGCTTCCCAAGCGGTGCACTATCCAGTGCGCCACCGGGCCGGCCCTATAATTACTTGTTTTTATATCTGATTTATTTTGCTAAACTATACACTTACAAAGGGAAAAATACCATTCTTATTTATTTATACGAGTGTACTTCAGAAAGTTCATGGAAAAATAGAATTACAAGATAATATTAATCTTTCCACGAACTTTTTGAAGTACCCTGGTATTTCTATAGCATAGTGCTTGAAACATAGTTAGGCATTTAAATATATAGTTGAAAGAATTTTGCATCTTAGATTCTGTGAAATTATAATTTAACCTTTTTTTTTTTTATATTCTAGATCTAAATTAAATCAATGTGGTTGTTCTCTACCCTTGTGTTCATGAGAATCACCTTTTAGACTTTAGATTCAAAATGTAGGTAACTAGCCTCCAATCCTGAAATTCTGATTTAACAGTCCTAGGTGGGCCTGGCATCTATAGGTTTTCATAGATGCTTCTGATATGTAGCCAGGGTTGGAAACCACAGTACCTTTTGATTAGTTGCCACCAGTGAGTATGATTTATTGCAAACAAACAAAAAATAGAAACTTAGATTAATAAGTCAGAGCTTATTTCCTAGAAAATGTAAATATAGAATTAATCAAAGCTGATGTCACATTTTTTTGTACTTAAAAATATTTTATTTCTTATTTTCCTCTTGGTGGTTAGGCTCAGCTATCCAAGAGTTGCAATCACGGCTTCTGTTGTAAATGCCCATATTTCAAACCTTCAGTTGAACTAACCAAACTTAGTTTTCCATGATTGTATGGTCTCTGTATAATTATGTATTAAAATAATTTCAGATAGGTTAAGTTTTCGAATTGCAACATCTCATTTAATGGTTACTTGCATATAACTCTAGGAAAGTATTTAACAATTATTCCAAAAATATAATGAAAAGAAACATATCTTTTAGTATGTGTTAAAACCAATAAAAGAGTGAGGGTAGAAATTAACATTTTGTTAAATATATTATCAAAGAGTACATCCATCAGCTGTTAAACTCCCTTACTGGCATATTATATTTTTGCTTTTAATGGAAAACAAATTTGATATGTCTTCTATTAAGTTGTATGAAGTTCTTGTGAATATTTCACTTTGGATTAAGGATAACTGCCCTGTGTATAAATTTCATAGTTTTATTGGCAAAGCTAGGGTCTGTGTTTGTAGTGATCTGGGTATGTTTTATTCCATTTTAATATTTGCTTTGTTTCTGTGATGGTATTAAGTTAGCTTAAGTGTTTAGGTAAGTACTTAATACTTTTTTTTTTTTTTTTTCCTTTTTTGTCTTTTTCCGTGTCCGGCAAAGGATCGCAACCCTCAGTGTCGCACCCGTACCGGACCGGGACCGGCAACAGGATCGCAACCCTCGGTGTTGCTCCCGCGCCTCGCTCAGCCAGTGAGCGGGAACCGGTCTGTATGTGGGATCCGAACCCTCGGCGGGAGCGCCACCACGCTCCCAAGCGGCGCACTATAGCAGTGCGCCACCGGGCCGGCCCCAGTACTTAATACTTTTGACAAGTAGTTATAACTTTCTATTTTTATTTTTTATGATGGATTAAGAACAAGCGCTGCAATCATTAGAGCAGAGTGCTCATGATGTGTGAAAATGTTGTCTTTGGTTGACCCTCTGTGTTGAATAAAAAGGCATAAATTAAATTAAAATTATTTTTGAATTATTTTCCTTTGGCTTTTGTTTGCAGAAAATTGCAAAATGCCTGCAAAAATAAATATACTCAGAATGTTTTTTGTGCAATAGTGTGACATTTAGCTAGTCAGATTTATCACTTTTAGGTAAATGTTAGATTATTTAAGTAATCTGGGTTTATAACAGAAACAGCAAACATAATTTTATATGGAGACTCCTTACCAACCTAACTTGTTATTGTCTTTTAACTTTAGAAATAAAGCTTGAATGACAAATATGTATAGAACCTGGGAAGACACTTGGACTTACACATTTAAAGTGACTGTCAAAATGAAATATGTATAGAACCTGGGAAGACACTTGGACTTACACATTTAAAGTGACTGTTGCCAAAAGCTTGCCTAAACTGATTATGAAGGACAAGGCTCAGCTGCATTAAAAGATAGTTTGTCAAACCTGTAACTAAGACATTTAAAATAAAGGAAAGTTTTAAAATAAAGGAGACCATCATTTTTGTTTTAATCTATTTAATTTAACATCTGGCTGATTTAGTTCCTAAAGTCAAAATAAAAATAGTGATAACAATGAATTTTTCCCAGCCACTGAATAATAATTGTTGAATTTTGATGTTAATCAACTTACTTTGCTCATTTAGTAGGTTTCTTTTTTTGCTTTCTTCCTCCTCCATGCTCTTGTAGGACTCTATTGTAGCTTGTAATCTCAATGAGTTATTTGCATATCTGTCTCCTTTAGAATTGTGAATTTCCCAAAGTCAAGGATCGTATTTTATTAATCTTTGTATTCCTAGAAAAGTTTTTAGATCATAATGGGCATTTAATGACCATAATAGTAAGAGTGTTTTTTTATTTGAGCTGCCTTTTTTGTGTGCCAGGCCCTACCTTAGCGTTTTATGTGAATGATCTAATTTAATCTTTAGGTGAACTAAAAAATGTTAGGTTACTGTTATTATCCACATTATACTTGTGAGGAAACAGACTTGAAAAGCTTAAATAACTTGCCTTAGGTAATACACATGGTAAGCAGTGGAACCAGGTTTTGCAGTTCTGCATCCAGGCAGTCTGACTCCAAAGCACATGNCCCAAAGTCAAGGATCGTATTTTATTAATCTTTGTATTCCTAGAAAAGTTTTTAGATCATAATGGGCATTTAATGACCATAATAGTAAGAGTGTTTTTTTATTTGAGCTGCCTTTTTTGTGTGCCAGGCCCTACCTTAGCGTTTTATGTGAATGATCTAATTTAATCTTTAGGTGAACTAAAAAATGTTAGGTTACTGTTATTATCCACATTATACTTGTGAGGAAACAGACTTGAAAAGCTTAAATAACTTGCCTTAGGTAATACACATGGTAAGCAGTGGAACCAGGTTTTGCAGTTCTGCATCCAGGCAGTCTGACTCCAAAGCACATGTTTTTATTACTCCACTAGAGGCAGAACATTATTAATACTCAGATCAGTATTGGGTAATGAACATCCCCATCGAGGGAAAAAATTATTTTTGTCCTGTGTATTTGGTATTTGGGGACAAAAACACTACTGTCATTACTTTGAAATATCTGAAGACATTTTAGTGAATGATTGTACAATAAACCACTTTTCTGAGGTGCATTACTATACATTATTAGTTCCTTTTCAGTGTATGTATTCATTGTGGGGATGGAGTAGAGAGATTGCGAAGGAGAGAAAGAACAAATTATATTCCTCCTTACCTACTTTGCATATAATGAGATTTAGTTTTTCCCATACCATTTTACATTAGAAAATGTGGATGTTACCCTGTCTTCTAATATTGGCTTTTCAAAGGGACTCTGCAATATGATATGTGATCAGTCATGGATAGTGATGTACTTCCTCTCAGTAGAATGAAATGTGCTGACTCTTTCTATCTCTTATTGTAGGTAATCCATGAGATAAAATTGAAGATATATCCAAAGACAAATGGAACAGTTCTTTTTTTTTGAGGCATTATTGATGCAGGTGGTTCATGAGTGATAGTTTTAGGGACAAAGTTATAGTAAGCAATTTGTTTCTCCGAGGAACAATGATGAAAGCTGATATCCAGTAAATATGTTGTTTGAATTAAAATATATTTACACAGGGCCGGCCCGGTGGCGCACTGGATAGTGCGCCGCTTGGGAAGCGCGGCGGCGCTC